ATTTAGGGCTTTTATAGTAATGATGTTTTGAAATTTTGGTGATTATAACTACTGATTAGTTTAACTTAATTCCAGATTATTTTAAACACTTAAATTCGTGTTTTAATTTTAAGATTTCCGTTCATTAATATTAATCTCGTTTTAATCCCGATCAGGTTCTTAACTCATCCGATTTTGATAAAAAAAGTAGTGTTTTTCATGTGGAAACAACGTTTTAAGAAAGACTCACTAACTTTGGTAGTGAGCACCACCCTCTCGTGGCCAAAATCGGATTTTTAAGTGTTGGAAATAGTTTCTAAGTACTACTTTTGATGTTTTATAAAGAGGGTTTAATCACCCATTAAAAAGGGAGATTATTAGGGGTTTTTAAATAATTTTCAGATTTTTATTAGACTTTTAACTTGCTGTAATTTCATGTATAAGAGTGTATTTTAAGGTTTTTATGAAGAAAATTTAAAGAACTATATATAAGCCTTTAATTTTAACTAAAGGGAAGGTTTTAAAGTGTTGTTTGATTTGGATTTCGAAGGTTTTAAAGTAAGTTAGTATTGCTGTAAATTTGATTGATTGGGTATTGATTGAGATGTTATTATTTGGTTTAGGAGAGCAGTTTATTGAAGGTGATTTCTAGTTAGTAAAATGGCACAAAGGATTGTTTACACGAGGTACGTACATGTCTACTTCGTTGTAAGTAGTACCATGTTTAGGTACCAAAGAAAAGAACTTAGTTTCATGATTAGAGAAGACTTGGATGAAAATTGTTTGGTTATACATTTAATTAATTCATGTGCTTATGTTTACGAGACATGTTTTGGTGAATTGATTATGTTTGTATGAAGTTATGGATGCAAACATGTTGAATTATATTGGATTAATTGTTTGTATGGAATGTTGATACAAATATATTTTATTGGATTGGTTTGTTAACAACATTTGGATTATTAAAGGATTGGAATTGAATGATTTAAGTGGAATGAATTTATTAATTATTCCACAAAGTTATTATTTAATTATTTATTACTCAATCATGACTTGTTAGTATGTTGAGTAAAGGTGGATTAAGCCGAAATGGCTAGGTGGGTTGACTATGTTCAACAATTTTGAATAATTTGGAAGTTTAATGGAATTAAAGGTCAATTTGTGATGTGATCACCCTTGTCCTAAATAAGATTAAAAGTAAATTGATGTATGATTTTTATGTATGGTCTATTTGATTGAGTCGACTATTAATTAAAATTGTAATCACGTAAAGTGAAACATGGATGAGCAATAAAACTCTAGAAAGCGTGCACTTCTAGAGTATTGACAATTATGGGTTGGGGTACACAGTGGTAGCTCGTGGCTTTCCGAGGCTTGTTTGATCAACATGTCCTCTTTTCTTTTGGTATTTACATTTTATTTTATAATGAAAGTTAGATGGGATCCTAGACTAAGTTTGTGAGAATGGAGTCGCGCCCATTCTTGCATCGCGCTAAACTTTTATTTTAAATGGTCATTTGGGACCAAAATGATTTGGTGGATTGGACAACCTCGTCTATTGCTTACTCCAAACTAAATTAATTAAATTAAATATAAAGAGTCAAGTGTTTGGAATTGATTAGCAAGTATGTTGAGTCGGGTGAATTGTTTAAGTGTGGAGTCTTGATTAATGAATTCGTGTTGTATGTTTATTTACTTTAATTAGTTGAGCATGCTAGGTTTGGTACGTTGTAGCTTGTATGTACTCAGCTTTGCTGATTGCGTGCTTTTGTGTGTTTTCTTTTGGTCATGGCCTTCGCCTTTCAATGACCTGTGATGATCCAATTATTACACTTGTATTATTGGGGAGCAGTATTGCACAGGTTAGCTTGATGATGTGAAGTTTGGGGATTTGACATACGCATTGTCAAGGGATTGGTGTGATTGAGTGTATTCGTTCTTTGTGTTGAACTTATTTATGTTTTACTACTTTAATTATGTTTTGGAACTTTGATTATTGGTTTGGTTTTAATAAGGGCCTTTATGGTTCCAATTTATAAGATTTGACTTATTGGTTTTCTAAATTATATTATTTTAAGATTTAAGTTGGATTTCCGCTGCAATACTTTGATAAAGCCTTAACGTTTTAACACGTGGCGGTAACATGCCAATGGTTCTCCTCTATTTTTATTTAAAGTATGTGGTTGAAAAAGGGAGAATTATTGGGGTGTTACATTTGTATTAAGGGACGGATGGAGTATTATAAAATTCTCCTTATAGTTCTTATCCTATAATCTTCCTAAAAATTTACTCTTTGACTATTGTTTCGGCAAAAAATTAGCTAACCGGGCCTTGGAGGGCTATTTGTGGACCTCAGATTTGGACCTTGAAAGGACTTGCAAAATGAACCTCGAGCTCGGGGTGGAGTCTCCGACGCCCAAGTTAGTTGCCAAACAAAGCATATTTTGAGAGGAGTTTAGGGGAGAGAAAGTGGAGGAGTATATATGGTCATCTTAGGGCATGTTCTCATACGTTTATTTTCAGTTCAGTTCAGCTCCTAATTTTCTTCTCTTATAAAATATTCTATTCATTTCAGTTCAATTCAGCCGATTTTAGTCTATTAAAACATGCCCTTAGTGTAAGAGTGACCTCCTTTTACCATTGGCTCCTTGAGGGGTGTACATGAGTGGGTTTTGGGAACCCTAGTAGTACATATGTGGGTCATGATGGGTCATATTAGTGCATTTGGCTTATTTGGGACCTCTTGGGCCTTTTTATGCCCTTTGGGCTTATATGAGAATTACCCTTAACTAAAAGGAAAAATTGAAAAGAATAATCTCACTTTTGACTCATCTTCTTAAAATAATTTTACCTTTGCATATTTCAGAAATAATCCCACCTTAACACCGCATCTTTTCAAAATAGTCCTTTTTACATTCAACCTGTTTTACAGGTTAATTTTTTTTTTTTTAATTTTTCTTTAGTTCCTCTACTCTCACTTCACCCCTGACAACCACCATCTCCACCTCGACACCACCTATCCATCACCACCACCATAGCACCACCCACGCCCATCCATCACCACCACCACAACACCATCCAAGCCCATCCATCACCATCGAATTGACCTCCACCCCGAAACCTACTAGAATTGGGGAAGAGGGAAGGGGATGCACTCTGCCATATCCAATCCCCACACATGAATCCCCTCCTAACCCCCAACTCGAAATCCCACGAGGAAAGGTGGCTGAGTTTCGGTCTTGGATCATTGATCGAAAAGGTGTGTGAAGAAAGTGGGATCATTTACATAATCACCAGAGATAAAGGCGATGGCGTGTTTGGCAGTTCGGAGTAGAGGTCTCAGGTGTGGTGGGGTTTGTGTTTCAGGCTCAAAAATCGATCAACGCACCAACTGGGCGGCGGATCGAATCGAGTTTTTTGCTGGGTTGGTAGAGGATGGAATCGGGAAAGGGGAAGTGGAAGGGGGAACGGGAAAGGGGAGAGAATCAGAGAAGGGGAGGAAATCAAGGAGGGAAGAACGGGGAAGGGGAGGGACGGGAATCAAGGAGGTAGCTGTTCTGACGGCGGCTGGGTTCGGCGACGAAGGGAGCATCGGTAAACTAAGGAAGAAGAAGCTAAGGATTTTTTTTAATTTCTTCATTAATTAAAAAAATAACAAGAACCAATTAGAAGGTGATACGTGGCAAGTCACCTTCTAAAAACAGTTACCAACTTCACAAACCGGTAAATGGACTATTTTGAGCAGATGGAATGTTTAGGTGGGATTATTTCTAAAATTCGCAGAGGTGGGATTATTTTGAGAAAATGTGTTAAATGTGGGATTATTCTTTTCAAATTTTCTAACTAAAATGAGTATGAATATTTTAGCAACCAAACAACTATTATTATAGGTGTGGACCTATATATTGGATTATTGGATGAATTAACATGTACTTCATTATTTTTTATTTTCAAATTTTGAAATTTTATATTATTCACACATGCATATGCCTTTAATTGTCTTTTATGATTTACACTTTAGAAAAGAGATAATCATATAAGATATTAAATTATTAATAGTATACAAAGTTTCATATGTGGTTGGCCACACCGTGTGGCCAGCCACACTTTTTTTTTAAAAAATTATTTTTCTCTCTCCTCTTTCTCTCTCCTCTTTTCTTCTTCTTCAAGCCAGAACCTTCATCTCATTTTCTCAAAGAATGTAACACAAATTTCACAATCGTTGTCTTCATGGTTCTTTCGTCGGTGGTTCATTCGTTGGAAGTAGTGGTTTCGCTGGGAGGGTAGTGGTGGTTTGGTGACTCCGTCGCCGGAAAACAAGTTCAAGGTTTTTAAGGCCAAATTCAGCCATGAAAACTCTAGGTCTAGAATTTTCATGGTCGAATTTGGCCTTTTTAGCCATATTTGAAGTGATATTCGAAACCATTGTTAACATTTTAAGGTATTTGTTTGATTTGATTTTTTTTTTTAATGGTTTGGTTGGATCGGGGTTTGTTTGTGGGTTAGGGGCTAGTGGCAAGGCGTTTAGGTTGGTAGTGGTTCGTTGGTGGTGGTTGTTGGTGGTAGTTTTTTGTTGGTGGTGGGTAACGGGTTACTAGATCCGGTCAGGGGTTACTAGGTGGTCCGGTTAGGGGTTACTAGGTCGGCGGTCAGGGGTTACTTGGGGTTACTAGGTCAGTTAGGGGTTACTTCGGGTTACTAGGTCGGTTAGGGGTTACTTCGGGTTACTAGGTTGGCAGTCAAGGGTTACTTGGGGGTACTAGGGGTTATAGGTCGGTTAGGAGTTACTTGGGGGAACTAAGGGTTACTATGTCAGTCAGGGGTTACTTGGCCAAGGGTTACTTTTGTCTTGGGGTTACTTTGTCTCGGGAATACTTTATCATTTGCTGATTTGACAACCTGCCGCACCAGAAACCCACTGTTAATTGTATGGTATTTCTATCAAAAGGCATGTTCGTATGTGAACTCCAAATGTCAAGGTTGAAAAGAGACGGTGGAAGTAATACATACTACGAAGTATATATGTATGTTGCAATTCTTTGGAAAAGCATATCAAATAGAGAATTTTAACTTTTCCCTTCTCCACACTACATCACTTCAAAATTACACTTCACAAAAAAAAAAAAAAAAAAAAAAAAAAAAAAAAAAAAGAAAAAGAAAAAATACCCAAGACATATAAGGGGGTGGGCCGTGATGGTGGGTGAAATTGATAAATTGACTAGTATTCATTAGGCCCATTGCCCCATTACAATGTATTTGGATCCACTAAAAATCTACTGTCTACTTTTGGTAAAAGCCCAAAATACAAGCACACAACTCATCTAGAAAATTTTAGTGATTATTAATCTTGACTTTACTGATAGGCCTTTCACCTAATGGAGGAATGCATTGACTGTAAAATTGGCTATAATCCTTAAGCCTCTTATATAATTGAAGCCTCTCTTCATCAATTAGTTTATCTAGTGGCCCAATTTCTTTGTCCCTACTTGGCTTGAAGAGCATGGCTAAGGAGATCCGATCATATTGTGGGTTTACCACTGCCTTGTGGGTCGGACTTTTGAAAATACCATTACTTGTTATCTGCAAATATAAACAACATACTTAAATCTCATATCACACGTATATTTTTCGATATTTTATATCTCTAACAGACAAACAGTGTTTCTTTTAAACGAATAAAGCAAATTAATACGAAGTAAGATATTATTACCTCCATTTGATCACCAACAAGAATGGTGAGGGCTTGAGGAATTATAGGAACACGAAACCAAGTATTGTCTTTGTTGACTTGAAGGCCTTCAACCTCATTGTCTAGCAAGAGCATGGTAATGTATGTTCCATCTCCATGAGGTTTAAGTCCAACAACTTGATCCGACAACGGGCATTTAGGGTAGAAGTTGAATCTCGCAAATGCCATATCTTCATTTTCATCTCTCCGGAATTGAAGAAAACTGTTTTCTTCCAAATTCAAGGAACGTGCCATGGCTTTTAAGAGCATCTCTAGTATCATCCGGTTCCTTTTTGAATATTCATGCAAGATTGTCCTGTAATTTATTACTACGAAGTATTAGTTATCATTTTTGTTTTTTTTTAATTTATTTTTTTTTTTTTTTTTTTTTTTTTTTTTGTGTTGATAGAGCCATAAAGCCAGGGGAGACAATCGATCCCAGATCTCCTGAAACTGAAAGAGAAGCTCTAACCACTTGAGCTGAGCTATCCCTCACTCTCACAATTATCAAATTATGAAATTGTTATAAATAATTCATACAAATTATTTGCATAATTTCTTTGGCATATGATAACACCACTTAGATACAAACTTGGGTCATGTTCACTTCATCTTATTTTTGCTAATCATAAATTATTTTTGTTGAATTGAAATTGTTTTACTGATATTCTATTATAATTTCTACTTTGAAGTTACTGATTTTTAATGAACTGAATTGATTTTTACTAAACTGAAATTATTTTTATTGAAGTGTTCTTATTTTTACAAAATTGTATTTAATTTTGTTTAATTGGAGTTATTTACTAAATATTTTTATTTAAGGTGAACCATACCAAATTCATTCATAAAATTCCTCAAAAAATTAAAAATCCAATCATATAATAATGTTACCTAAATTGTTGGGGGTTTTCAGGCCAAAATTGAAGTTGGCGCTTGTCCTCGGGATAGACTTGGAGATGAAGCTTATCATTCCAATTGAGACTTCCACGTTGAACAGCATTCGTGTTTCCATAACCTTCCAATAAGTCATCTCCTTTGGAAGAGTACTTTTCCTTTTCTTCAAGAGGCAGTTTGAAGAATTGCTTGCTCATTTCTCGTACCTCGTCTAGCAATGAAGGTGGCATACCATGATTCACTAGCTATGTCACACACAAAATTATACTATTAAGGTCAGTAAAGTTGGAATTGGAATAAAAGTCACCTGAAGGGTTTAAACATAAATAAAAAATCGACTAATGAAAATTAATTGGGTTTTTCTAAACTATGCCCCAAGTTATTGAATTTCTAAGTTGTACCCATGTTTTTTCAAAGTTATAAGTTGTGTCCTCTATCTCACGATATTTTATCAACAGTACTCTTTGACAGTCATATTTGTTAAATACGGGTCAGGGCCGTATCCGTCACAAGAGAGTGTAAGTCCACCACTTACAAGACAAAAAAGGTTCTACCTCAAAACCATATGCTAATGAGGGGAGTAGCCCCTTGGTATTATATAGTGGTGGTAACTCTTAAGTTTTTTCAATGTGGGATTTCATTACCACTACTACACTCCCCTTTAGTGTGGGAAAGAGAGTGCTCACATGTGGGTTGTTCACGGGCTCAACAATATCCGTTAACAAAAGTTAAGTGGCGTTATTAATTTGATATGTGTCCCGTTTTAATTAGTTCAATAATTTAATAAAATTTAAAAAATTATAAAAAAAAAAGTTTTTGTTAATAATAATTTTTTTTTTTAAAAAAAAAAAGTGAGGTTGAGAGCACAAATTAAATGTTTGAAAAAGCATGGGTACAACTTAAAATTCAAAGAATTTTGGTGATATAACTTAGAAAAACCCAAATTAATTATAGTGGTAGTCATATATATATATATATATATATATATATATATATATATATATATATATATATAATATATATATATATATATATATATATATGGGTGAGCAAAATTCTGGGTACCCGGAATTAGAACATGAACTGGTTAGGAACCGGCGGGTCCGGAATCGGTTATAACCAATTCCAATTTCAATTTTCAACTTTTTGGAATTGGAACCGGTTGAGTATCCGGTTACCTAATATATGTTAAACTAAATAAATTTTAAATAATAAAAATATGTTGAATGTAATTAATTTGTAAATTAAAAAAGTATTATTAATACCTAATATAAATGCAAATAGCTTAATGCATATATAAATATAAGTATTAAGTGCTAAAAATAAACCTAACTAAAATAAGAATTATAATTTGTATTATGTTTTAACAATTACATACATAAGTGGGTACCCGGAACCGAAACTGGTACCCGATGGTTCCAATACAATTCCTAAATTTTAGGATCCGGTTGAACCAATTCCTAAATTTTAGGACCGGTTGAACCAATTCTATTTCCGGATTCAAATTTTAGGACCCGATTCCAACCAATTTCAAGTCCAGGTCCTAAAATTTTGACCGGTACCCGGTTAGCTATATATATTTCAGTATATAGCGAAATTGCAAGGTATGAAATTGAAGAACAAACAAACCTGAACACAACCCCAAGAACTAAGAGCAGAGCGAAGGTTTGCAAGCTCGTCGTGAGGGTAAGACGATGAAGAGAGGAGAGAGAAATCGATCGTCGGAGCATCCATCAAAGGTGGAGGGCCATTGCTACTAGCAGCTTGGTAGTCATCCTCGTGTTGTATGTAGCATTTTGGCACAACACCACTCTGTATTATATCCTGCACCGGCTTATGAGTAGGTGCCATTATATTGCTTCAACGTTTATATTTTGAACAATATATTTATTTATGCAAATGGATTTATATATTATATATATATATTGGACTATATAGTACAGTATTTCCAACAAAGCTAAGGGTATGTGGTATGTTAAGAGGCCACGTTCAGCTTATATAATATGGCTGATCTCAATTTATTTTTTTTATTACAAAAGATATATTAACGAAAAACGTTTATAATTGGAGGCTGATCTCAATTTAAGTATGATATATTAGCTAAAATGGGCATCATGTTAGTTAAAAAATTCCCGTTCTTCATCCCATGGTTGTTTTAATAATCGAATCCAAAATAAGACAATTATTTAAAAAAAAAACATAACTATATCAATTATTCACATCAATCACGTAAAATGAAAACAATAGAATATTACAAATAATAAAATAAAAAGCCAAAAAACACTAGTCTAGAGATTCAACTATTTTTACAAAAACAATAGTATTATTGGTAGGGGCAGTATGTCCCTACCACATTTTGTTAGGTTGCAATAATTGCAACTAAATCTCCATGTGCGTAAACTGAATGGATAAAACAGATGAGTACGGATGATTCTACTTTGTCATTTTTTAAAAAAGGACTTCATAAGATGCTGATATGGCATGCTGTAATTGGTCAAATTTTCATTAATTTTTAAAAATTAAATTATACCATACATGTATGTATTATTGAAAATACATGTATTTTTTTTAAAGAATACAAAATTATAATATTTAATTTTTTTATAATTATTTTCGAATATGCTTGGTTGCTTCCATGAACAAACCTTCGTGGTCTTCAATTGGAGCACAAATCGAAATTGTTGTTGCGATTGGATAGCGAATTGTTGTAATTGGGTAGCGAATTGTTGTAATTGATGGTGGATTGGAAGTTCTAGTTGTCACGTTTTGGTGTTGTGGATGAAGCGAAGATTGAAGGCGGTGGATATTGCTGCTATTGGAGGCTGGGATTGTTGTCATTGGGTAGCGAATTGATGGTGGGAGGCTGAAGGTGGACATGTGGTGGTGGTTGCGGGCAGGTGACGGAAAATTCTGCTACTGCGGGTTTGCGAGCAGGGCGGTGGTGAATTGGTGATAGATTGCGGGGCTGAACTGGACGTTGGTGGTGATTAATTGCGGGGCGGTGGGCTGGTGATTGATTGTGAGGCAGCGGGCTGGTGATTGATTGACGGGTGTGGGATGCGGCAAGCTGGTGGTTGTTGTAAACTTGTAGCGGTGCGATGGTTGGAGCAGTGAGAGGGCAACTAGTGGCTGATGTGATTTTCGATGGTTGGAGGTGGTTATTCTACTGGTAGGTGGTGCAGCGGTGAGTTACTGGATCGGTTAGTTACGTTGCGCCGTTGCGGTTGGCTAGAAGTCTTGTTTGGGAGTTGATGTTGGTGGCTTGGTGAGGTGAAAAGGCATGGGCATAAAGGGATTTTCATATTTTATGATTACGTATTTATATGTATTAAAAAGAATACGTAATATAAATACAATTTTAATACATTTTGGATACTAAAAATAATTCAAAATTAAAATCAAAATACAAAATATGGGCCAATCAGATTCCGCCCCGTCATTATATTGTGGTGTCCTTTTCAAAGAATGACATTGTAGAATTTTTAGATGAGTACTCCTATATGGCAAGGGCCTATATTAAGGGATAATAAAAATCAAACTTAAAAAAACATAAGTAATTAGATGAATTGTTGTAGGAGGTATGGTGTTTACAAATGATATTATGTTGTTCCTTAAGGAAAAGAGGGAGATGAAGGAATTATTACCCTCATAATGAGAATAATAGGGAGAGCGGCCACAGGAGTGTTATGTGACCGAAGCATTCTCTTACAGTTGAAGAGAAAATTCTACAGGACTACCATAAGACTTGTGTTGCTCTATGGTACAAAATATTAGGCTTCTAAGGAGCACATTAAAAAGAATAAGGAAGTTACGGAAATGCTCATGTTAAGGTGGATGTGTGGGAAGACTCTAAGAGATAGAATAAATCAGAAATGAGGTTATTCGTAATAAGAAAGTAGGTGTGGCAGGCATTGCAGATAAACTAAAGGAAAATCGCTTGCATTGGTTTGGGCATGTAAGACGGACACCCAGGGGTGTATCGGTTCGAAGAGTGGAAGAGTGGGATTATGGAGGGGTGAAACGAAGGAGAGAGAGACCGAAAACAACTTGGTTGGAAGGAGTTAGGAAGGATATGAAGTATATATATGGATTTGAATGAGGATAAAACATTATTGGATCGTAAGGGGTGGATGGAGAAGGAAGATTTATGTCGTCGATGACTACACGGAATAATCAAATTTGATTCATGTTACCTGACCCCACTTATGGGATTAAGGCTTTGATCGATTGATTGATTGATTCTTCCCCTGGTGTAACTACTACCCCTAAAATGAGCCTCTTTCTTCATAGTTTGACTTTTATAACCATAGTAATACATTTTCCTTAATCCAAACATGCCCTAAGGAGTAAAATTTATCGTACAAATTCAATAAATCATTCAAATAAAATTAGGCTATTTTGTCAAAAAAAAAAAAAAAAAAAATTGGTACGGGAAGTAAGGGAATCTCTACCCTCTAAGCACCCTCACTTGGTAAGATTCGAACCCCAAAACTCTAAAATGTGAGGTAAGAACCTTACTAATTAGTGATCTAACACTTTATTGGTGTCTATTTTATCACTACTCATTAACTACATTATACCTTCATAAATCATATAACATATAAGAGTATAATGATTTTCAATTAACTACCTATTGTAATTTTTAATTATATAATTACCTTTTCAATGAAAAATACTTATACCAAGTATTAAATATACTCCCTCCATTTTTATATACTTGCTCCATTTCTCCATGCACAGACTTTTAGAATAACTTGGAGAAAGTAATAAAATATAGAGGTAGTAGGTTTGGTGGAAGAATTTAAAAAAAAAAAATTAAAAATTAAAAAAAAAAAGTAGTAGAGAGAATTGGAAGAAAGAGAATATGAATTTAATAAAATACTTCCTCTGTTTCTTCATAGTTGCAAAACAAACTTTATCACGGTATTTAAAAAAAGTGGACCTCGCATGATATAATACACTTAAAATGAGATTTAGAGATTGTTAGGAGTATAATCAAGTGGGTCATGTGCTATAAATAAAGGTAACACAAACTTTATCTATCATATGTGATATAATACACTTAAGTAGTTGAGAGAATTGGAAGAAAGAAAATATGAATTTAATAAAATACTTCCTCTGTTTCTTCATAGTTGCAACACAAACTTTATCACGATATTTTAAAAAAGTGGACCTCACATGATATGATACATTTAAAATGAGGTTTAGAGATTGTTAGGAGTATAATCAAGTGGGTCAAGTGCTTTAAATAAAGGTAATAGTATAATTTTCACCTTAAAACCTTCCTTTTATGGTGTGTTGCAACTATTGTGACATTTCTATTTTAGGGAAGTATTGCAACTATAAAGAAACGGAGGAAGTATGATTTATGTTGGGTCCAATAGTTGAGATAAATAAATTGAATATTATAAATCTTTCCAAATAAGGAAATAGACCAAGTATTTAAAAATGGCCAAAAATGAAAAGTGGAGCAAGTATTTATAAATCGAGTGAATATATTTTGTGAATTACCTAATAAGAAATTCATTTCCTTTTATATGCTTGGTAAGGGCTGCAATCTCGATGCATTTCACAAAGCCTTTGTGGATATATGGAAGTTGGACGTGTCTCTGAAAGTGCGCCATTTGTTGTGGAGGTTGTGTACCAACATAGTGCATGTTACAGACCTTTGGTGCAGGCATCATTTGATTGAATATGCTAGGTGCCCCTGGTGTCAGTTCGCAGGTGAGTCTACAACCCACTTTATCTTTGAATGTGTGCGAGTTCATGAGTTATGGTTTTAGTGTGGATCAATGTGAGGCCATGCTAAACGGTGTAGCTAAAGGTGACATGTGCAACATGGTCGTGCAGCGGGGTGCTTTGGATAAAATGATTGTGCAACGGGGGGGGCCTTTTTGGCTTGGTGTATTTGGGGTAGAACAAGTGTGAGAGAACTTTTATCCACATAAAATAACCTTCTTATGTACTGATGGATAATCTCGTTTCTTAATTAATGCTAGCTTGTTTTCCTCGAAAATAATAATATAAAGTATTGTATCTATCGGCACTGACGCCTAAATTCTAATTAGTACTAATTACAAATAAAATGTTAAAGTACTAATTATTTGAGCAACTGAGCATTACTTTAGTACCACTTAATATTGCTTTCGTGCTTTTGTGCAGGAAGATGCTTCGTTGATTGCTAGTTTGGAATTACCGAACCAAGATGCTGGTGAATTTTTGTACTGGGGTTACCACAAGTCTGGCTGTTATACAGTCAAAACGGGGTATGCGTTCCTTAAACAGTCTACTGCACCACAAACACACAACAATATTCTGGATATATATCAAACACTGTGGTCACTTGATATTCTGTCAAAATGGAAGTTGTTTATGTGGAAACTCCTTAGGAATGGAATTGCAACACGGTGTAATCTGGGTAGAAGAGGATTGGAGATTAATATTCAGTGTGACCTTTGTGGGTCTCAGGAGGAGAATTTACAACACTTGTTCAGATTTTGCACTTCTGCTCAAGATGCTTGGAGGGATGGAATTTTACAAATCCACTCACAATCTAATGCAGACCAATCCTTTGAAGATTGGATCCTGTACTGTATCCGACTTTTCATATGCCATGATGGTTACCATGGTCATAGAACCACGTTTTTTTATTGCAACTCTGTGGGGGTTGTGGATTTCAAGGAATAATAGGGTCTTTAACGTCTTGGGTACAATCGGCATTTCTATACCATCCATTATTTGCGAGGGTCTTCGCTAGCAGGGCATTTTTTCTACAGGGACAGATAATATGCTTAGATCCTTACACCCACCGGAACTGATCGCTGGCCACCCTTACGGGTTTCTACGAGCTATTTTACAAGACTCGAGTTAAGGGTTGAGGCCAACGGTCATTCTGGTCGATGGGTCTTGGAATAGGCACACTCATAGATCAGGAATGGGGTGGTGCCCAGAGTTTGGGGAGTACGGGGAACAGGGGTCATTGGGTGGAGCTTCCCATGGGTTGGCACAATCAGCATTACACACGGAAATGAATGCTTTCTTGGAGGGGCTTCGGTGGGCTATCAAACGGATGCTACGTGGTGTTACTATTTATACCGATTCATGTTCTTTGGTTTACTCACTCAGGAATTTAAAGGATCAGGATATTACTCTTAGATGGACGGTGGATCGTATCCGTCAGCTCAGTCGAGAATTTAATTG